AAAGAAGTAGGTACCACTGTTAGCTCTGTTTCTTGATGGAAAAACTAAGGCATAGAGAATTTGAATAGCACAACTTAAAGTTACACAGGTATTAAGTGATGGAGCCAGGAGCTAACCCAAGGAAGTGGGACTCTATTGAATGAAAAAAAGGAAGTGTGCATAAAGTTAGAAAATACGAACCCATTTGCATCAAAAGTGTTTGTGTGTGTCTAGATGTAAATACACATTTATATCAGTAGCTATATGTGAACTAGAAACATATTTGAAATATATATGTGTATATATACACATATGCATATATACAGTTGACCCTTGAACCATGCAAGTGTTAGGGGCAGTGACCTTCTGCACAGTAATTGTGTGGTACTGTGGTATTTACTACTGAAAACCATCTGTGTATAACTGGACCCATGCAGTTTAAATCCATGTTGTTCAAAGGACAACTGTAGATGTGTGTGAATTTGGCATACACAATGCCACAGTTGTAACACTGCTTACCTATTAGAGACTAGGACTGGGGTCTAAAATAAGGGATTTTTTTACTCATAATTTTGGAAACTTTTTACAATTAGTGAATTAGTGTATTTTATTTTTGCGAGGATTCGACCAAAACAATCATTTAAATCCCCAAATTCAGGTTTTGTATCTGTTACTGGGCTAATGGTGCAGCCCTCTTCATGTAGTTTATTGAGGGCAAAGATATATTTACAGATATTGGAAAAAATTTGTTTATTTTGATTCTTACTTTTCTTTTTGATTCGTTTTATCAAACATTTTAATATCAACTCTGAGTCTTCTACCCACGGGGGTTTTATTTATTTATGAGCTCTTGTGTTTACAGCATGATTCACTGTCACTGGTCTTCATTTTTCCATCTGAGCTAATCTGTACATGAATGTAGGTCATGAGGATTTAACTTCTTGAGCAGTGAGATCGATTGCAATGCCATCATCATGTCTTCTTCCCCATGGAATTTGGGTCTCTTTTGAATGACGGCACTTGCCCACAGTGAGGGTGAGGGATGTCTTTGCAGCGGTGTTGGGGTTATTACTCATGACTCTGCAGAAGCAGAAGGGCTAAAGGGAGTTGTGAAAGCAGCAGGAGATCATGTGGCAGCTTTCTGAGGCTGGGGCTGGAGGAGTGTGCAATCCTTTTTCAAATTCAAATGCCATGTAACCAGACACCTCTAAGTTTAGTGCTTACCTACTTGACCTTGCTGACACCTCATTATTGCAAGTTCCCATCTTTAAGAATTATGTGCACTTGGTATTCTGTGATCTCACTTCCTCCTTTCTCTTTTTTTCTCTTACTTAAGTTGTTACTCTCTATCTTCACACTCAGCCCATTAATTTCCCTCTGTAGAAAGGTAGTAATCTATCACCCTAACTATCACAGTAAAGGAAATGCCAAAGCAAAACTGAGCTGAAAGAAGAGGAGGAGGAGAATATGAGGGTCCATGATTAACTCTGAAGGCAGAGAAATATCCAAGACCTTTTAATTTAACTTAATTTATGCCATTGGGGTTTCAAAGCTCATAACAATAATTATCACTTTGCAAAAAATTTTGCAAAGAAAGAATGTAAATTATTGGAGAAGGGATCAATTTCAGTAATTATCTCGTCTATTTACTTCATTTTACAGATGAGAAAATGGATGTAGAAATACCAACCAAATTTAATGTTGCCACACAATCCTACAAGGAAAGAGTTTTATAATCTCTTACATAAAATAGGACTGGGAGCTGGCGTAGCAGCCAGTGAGGTCAGGCTCTCAGAGTGACCTTTGGGGTCTGGGATATATAGTCCACCGAGGCAGAAACAGTTTAGTGTTCTGGATGAATCTGTGGGCCAGAGAACGTCCCTAAATTCATCCTCAGGGCCACAGGCTTTTGTGTTTGTCCACACTCTGGAATTTCCTAGTTGATGATGACCCTGGACTTCATCTCCCAGATTAAATCCTAAATGTTAAAGAAAGCATCCCATTCTACACAAATGTTTCCAATGATGCTTTTCTTTTTTTTAAATTGAAGTAGTCAGTTACATTGTGTCAATTTCTGGTGTACAGCACAGTGTCCCCGTCTTGTGTGTGTGTGTGTGTATGTGTGTTTTCATACTTCTTTTTTTTTCCTATTGCTGCTTAGGAAAGTACCTTTTTAACTGGGGGTTCCATCTTTGGGGTAGGAATGGGAGGAAGAGAGAGAGAGAGAGAAGAGGAGGGGAGGGCAGTAGAGAGACCTTTGGTTCATGGACAGTTCATTCTTGGCATGTTCCCTGAAAGAAGGTACATGAAAATTATCCAAAGGACTTTTTCAGACCACCCATAGCTCGCTCATAGGTGAGCTCTCTTCTCTTCCAGCAGTGTTTCTCAATCCTGGCTGTACATTAGACTCATCCAGAGGCTTCTAAAGTAACGCTGATGGCCAGGCCCCACCCCAGACAAACTAAATTAAATTCCCAGGGATGAGATCGAGATACTAGTAGTGAACATTACAGATTGCTCATGTGCAGCCAGAGTTGAGAATTTGAGAATCCCTTCCTGGAGGAACATGTATCAAATAACCCCCCTCATCCCACTGAGAAATCCTAGCCATTGTGAGCTATCGTTACTAAGAGTTGAGTTGGAAAAATGTTAGCACCATCACTCCTGCTGTTTTTTTAAGGACAGGATAAGAGCCTGACTTAGAGCTGGCCCAGTGATAACCAGAAAATTAAAACTATAATTTACCTCACTATTGCTATTATTGTAAAAAGCAATATTAATGAATAGTTATTTCTCTCATATTTGTCAGAATTAGTATAATTATTTCACCATTTTAATGACTGGATTTATTTTTCACAAGTAGGTGAAAATTACAGTTTCTTGAAGTTATCATAAGGTCATTATTGAAATTAATTGATATAAGTGAAAAAATTATAATGAATTTAAAGCATAAACAGTAACAGAAAGTATGCTGTTAAAAAAGGTATAGATAATGGGACACCCGCACAATTCAAATTCATAAAGTCCTACATGAAAATAGAATTATTTAGAGTTTGTCTCTTAATGTTATGCTGGAGGATCTCATAATGTGGAAAACAACTTTGTCTAAAGCAGTAAATACATAAATACATGCTAATAACTGTGGAAGTAGTTTGCTTAATAAGATTTAGCCTTGTTATAAATACTTTCGAAAAGCCTACAATTGGAAAATGCATTTCTAAAATTTAAAAATAGAAAACTATCATGAAATAAAAATTATGTATTCAGGATGTTATTTTATGTTTCTTTTTTTTTAAAGCGGGACTAGGACTTCTCCCACTTACGTGATACCATCTCTACCAGTGGTTCAGAAATGGGGACAACTTTGTGCTCCCCCAGGGGACATTTGGTGATGTCTAGGGACAGTTCTGATTGTCACGGCTTAAAGAAGAGAAGTGTTACCAGCGTTTAGTAGGTAGAAGGCAGGTGTGCTGCTAAATACCCTACAGTGTGGGCAGCTTCCTGCGGGGAAGAATGATGTGGTCCAAAGTGGCAACAGTGTTGAGGTTTACTGGTTTTAAACTAACTCGTTAGAAACTTCATCTGTTCTTTAAAAAGCCAATAATTATGGATATTTTCATTGATAATGTAATTCAGTAACTCTTTAGAAATGTCAGAAAGTGTCAACTTGAATCTCTAAGATAAAACCTTTACTTTGTTATAAACCCAAATAGAAATATATCACGTACCTGCTAGGGTGTCCATACCTTGTTTGTGATGATCAGAAGTCCCGTACGTAATCTCTTTTCATTGGTAGAGAAGAGCAGGTGCATGTACTGGCTCCACGACCACGAATGGGCGCGCTCAGCCGGCATCCAGCCTCCTTTTAGCATGTGGAATCTCCACTAGGCCTTTGCAAAGGGAGTTTTAGAACTCAAGTTCACTTGGATAAAACTCACATTATAATTTCTTGAATTCTTTTCAAGAATTCATCAATCATCCAAGAACTCAACAATCCATCCTTTTTCTTTCACCTTTATTTCCCTAGCATTTAAATAAAGTGTCTTGGATATAGTAAGACTGCCACAAGGCATGTTAACTTTAATCGGGAGGGGAGCACTTTTCCAATTTACACTTTGCCTTGCTCAGACTACTTTTCTTCATAATTTACTCCTGCTCCGCTTGGTCTAACCAACTCAGGAAGGAGGGAAGTTCCCTAAAAGGTTTTCATGGTCTTTAATGAAGCAGCCTTCATAGTTGTTGTTGTTGTTTTTTTTTTTTTTAATGCAGCAAAGAGGTCTAAGAGAGAGTTTAGTTGGAGATAAAGCAGGAACAGAAACCATATGGCAGTGTGGAAGAAATTGGGGAAAAGAAAACATGTGCTTTGGATGTAAAGTCTTTCACATAATTTTGTCAGCAAATAATTCTAGACTTTAAAATAAATTTGTCAGCAAATAATTCTTTCAGCAGGAGGAAGGTAGCTATTGGAAGCCACAGGTCAAGGGACATTTATTTTTAAGGAAAATAGAACGTAGAAGGAATAGTGTTGAATACACACTACAGAGCTGGAAGTCAAAAGCATAGAGACAGAATTTGAAATGTGTAAATGGAAGAACGACTTAAATAGAGCAGAGGGAGAGAAGAGCAGAAAGCCAAGGATTATATCTTGGAAATGAGAAAAAGAAG